AATTGGAGCACCATATGAAGTTACTAAAGATCTTATGGAACATTTTGATGTATCTATTGTTTGTCATGGTCAAACTCCTATCATGCCTTGTGAAGATGGTTCAGATCCATATGTTGAACCTAAAAGACAAAATAAATTTAAATTGTTGAACAGTGGTAATGATATGACAACAGAAAAAATTGTTGAACGTATAATTCTTCACAGGTATGTTAAATAATTATATATTATATAATATTATATGATTAAAAGTATTTTATTAATTACAATCAAAGATTTTTAGATTCCAAATTAAAGTTATATATAATATATAAATTTTATATTAATTTATTTATATTTAAAAATTATTTAAAATTCAAAAAAAAAAATAAAATTCAAATTATAATGATTTAAAAGAATTAAAAATGAGAAGAATAAATAAATAATGGTAAAAATAATTTTTAATAAAGAAAATTTTTAATAATATTACAAAAGTTGTTTGTTTAAAAAAGATATTTATATTAGAATTATATTAGATGTAATTCTAAATATAAATTTTTTAAAATTATCATTCAATAAAAAAGTATTAAATATCTAATCATAATATTATGTAACTTTAATGAATATTCAAATTTTATCTATTTAAAGATATAAATATCTTTTTTATTATATATATAAATATATAACAATATATATATATTATTGATACAAAATTGGTAATAAAAATATATTGTATGCAGTATTTTATCTTCCTAGGTCAAATGAACTATATATGATAATTAAGAACTTGAACAACCGTTGACCTGTTACCATCTTGCATTTTGTAATTGTTCATTTAATTTGTAATAAAAATTCTTTTTTTTATAATTTTTTATCATTCATCTATTATGCTTTCATAATGGGATATGCAATTTTGTGTAATAATAGAATTTACAGATTCATCTTGTAATTATTTCTATCTATTTATAATCTTCTTATGTGTGTACTTTTTATACAAAAATTTAATTTATAATATAATCAAAAATATTTGCATATCCCAAATATTTAAGATAAATTTACCATGTTGTCATATAGTCCTTAATTACAGGTTGGAATTTGAAGATAGAAACTTAAAGAAAGAAAAAAAAGAGTTAGCAGCTTATGAAGCCTTTATAAAATCCCAGAAAAAAGAAAGAACTGAATAATTTTTTCTGTATATGCAGAGTGTGTGATAATTATATTTTATGATATATATATTTGTAAATATGATATCACACTAATATTTAAATTATTTAATTCTATTTGGATATACATTTATAATTATACTAAATATTTAAAATATTAATATAATAATTAATATAATACAAATATATATTAATATTTTATAGAAATATTATTTTTCATTCCCAATGATTTAACGATAAAAAAAAAAATACAACGATAAACGTATACAAAGTTGTGAATATTTGTATATTCAAATATTTTTAATTAAAAACATTTAGAAAATTTTATTTTATGTTGCGATGTTTAATTATGCACATATATATATATATATCTCTGATATAAGAATATCATTAATAAGTTTTGATTATTACAATATTAACATCCTGTATATTTGAGATAAATATAGAAGAAAATTAAATATCAAAATATTTTGACATTTTGTAAAAATGTAATTTTTTTTACAAAATTGATTTTTATTTACATATTTTATGATATTTAATTTTTTGTAGTGGTTTTATCATAGTAAAAATAATAATTTTTATATCAAATATTTTTAAGTATTTTTAAGTTTTATAATGCAGCTGCAGTGCAGTTATAATAATTTTATATAATTTTTTATCAAAATTTATCAAAAAAAAAATATATTTTTTAGAAAATGAGAAATTTTAGAAAAATTCCAATGTTATAGTAAATTTTATAATTAGTTATAAAAAAAATATAATTAATTAAATAATTTATTTATTATATTATTTATTCTATGAAATGCATTATAATTTTGTATATTTTTATAAGAATGAATTGATTTATATTTTTTTATGATATTCAATTGTGCAATATTCATAAAATTTTATTATATATAAAACAAATATCTTCAATTATTTTTGTCAAATATAATATATTTAATATGAATGAATAGTGCATACAAAAAAAAAAATGTACATTTGAAAATGTTAAAAATGTAAAATAAATCATAAGTGCCACATTTTGTAATTACATAACTATTATATTATTTTTATTTTTACTAATTATTATATTAGCATTACTTGAAAGTAAAATATTAACCAAAGATAAATTTTAGTCATATACGTAATATAGAATAGATTTATTCTACATTTTTATTTTTGATGTTACATATTTGTATCAAAGCATATTTAAAATTTATTTTCTATGTGCTTTATTTACTTTTTTAAATTAGAATTGATTATAATAAATTATATTTTTATTTGTATGTATAAGCGCAATTGCACAGCATTATCGCATTCCGTATTACATATTGTATTCGCAATAATGTAATAAAATAATAGGCTATAAAATATTGTGATATGGAATAATTGATTTAATTTTTGCCATCAATTTAATGTATCTAAAAGCATGACATGCGTAAATATGTAATAATGCTTTATTTTGCAATAAATAAAATTATTATATGCGATCATATTAATACAATAAATATCTTATCGTATTTATTTATTTATACATTTAGTCGATTAAGTAGTTTGGAATTAAAATTCATAAATGATAAAATTTCACATATGATTAATATATCTTATTATGTTTACATATATATATACATTGATTCAAACTGTCACTTATCCAAGAAAACTTGGTTCATTATGATGAATCCATATTGGGATAGATAATAAATTATTCTATAATTAGTAACTTAATACGATTAATCTAAATTACTATTTGAGATTACATATGCACTGTTTCAGGTCACGTAATAGCACTGCACGTTTAATAAATTTATCTTGAAATAATAAAAAAAATAGTTTCATAAATAATAAATATGTACTTAACGTGAGAAAAGTAAAATAGTTTTTCGTGCAATTTGCTATATAAAACGTGCAAAGTGAATGATCAGTTAGAAAGACAATAATAAAAAAATTTAGTATTTCTTAAATTTGTAAATTACATTTGCCTTTTTATATTATAAATAATATATTATAAATCGCAATTTTTAACATATTCATATTTTTGTAGCAATTCTATTAAATCTTATTATTTTATATATTTTAAACTAAAATTAATATAAATATCTTATTAAAATTTAATTTTTTAATTAAATATATTAATTATATTTATATATTTGAAATTCTATATTCTTATTTTAATAATTTTTTAAAGCTTATCATTGAATATTATAATTTTAATTATTTGTATATGATATGTTGCTTCTTTTCGTACAACAATTTAATCCTTTAATTTGGTTTTCTATTTCATTCCGTAAAAATGTTTCATTTTGAAACATTTTGAACACAAATAAAGTAGAGTACAACATTTGCATTCTGCTATTGAACTGTAGATCGGCCAGTGTAACCTGGTATTGGTTCAGAATATTTTCTAGCGCGATCTCGTACTAATTCATCGATAGATTTATTTTGCGGTATAGTGGATGATAAGTTATGAAGTCGCGTTGCTAGATAGCACATGATAAAAGCTGATAAAACAAGAAGTGCACCTAATCCAGTTGCAACGTAAAGAAAACTACCACAGCTGTTTTCAAGTCCAGCAGCCACTTTTTGATATAAATCTAAAAGACAAAAAATAAAAATTTAAGGAATTTTATAATTGTAATATTAATATTACATTATTTTGTTATTTTAACATGGTAAAAATATATTTAAATTTGAGTCTTTAAAACTTTGAAATAATCATTAATTTAATGTTGACAAATAAAAAACGAAATTTATATGAAGTTTACCATCGGACATCATCACCGTGTATTCGATATTTTCCTTAAATTTTGTATAAGGTGTCGAATCGTTGTATTCTTTTATTAAATGATCGATTTTAGGAAATATGTCATTTGTACTTTCTTCGATAGATCTTTTCTTTTTTTTACCATGTCCTGATGGTTCAAAAAGATCAAGACAAAAATCCTGTAATAGATATAAAAATAGATATTTAATAAGTTATTAATTTTTATACATATATTATTCATTATAATTTCTATTTCTATATATTAAATTAAAGTAAACGCTTCTGATAAATATTAAGATTTTGATATCAGATATTTTTTGTCTTTACACAAAGGATATCATTTAGATAATCTTCTATTTATTTAAATATTCTATATATATGTCCAAAGATAAGTTGCCAATATAAGAATTAACTTATTTTATAAATTAATTCTTATTCTTTTTCAATCATATCTATCATAATCGAATAAAACTTTCGCTAACGATAAATATCGTGCAACAATATACACTTTAATGCATTAATCTTGTTTTTATATCGAAATTGTTTGCGTTCAAACAAAGAGCGTGCGCAAACAATCATTTGAAAAGCCGCAAACTCGTTGAAAGCCGCACGAGCGGGTTAAAGGATGAACGTTTTTGTTACCACAGACACCGAATTACGAACAGGTCAATAGCCACTCATTCAGTCGTCGACCACGAGATAGGTTTGACCGCAAATTATGTCCTTACCGGTTGGCAGTCCTGCGGTTCCATACAAGCTTTGATCTGCGAGTGGATCCACAGCGTCGATCGCTCCCTCATTGAGCTGAGAAGAAATGCCTCGAAATCCAGGAAAACTTCATTTTTTCTTTCCCTGTAGCGGGCCGGTTGATGAGGAATTATTGACGCGAAATCTCGATTTCTACAACCATCCTTCACCAATATAACACTTCCTGGTGCGTGAGGCTGATCGGGATCGGGACTAACGGTCACTTCCAATAGTTTAATGTAACCCCATGCACTATCTGCACTTATTCGAGCTCTTAACTGAAGTTTTGTACCGATGGGAACCGCTTGATCGACTGTTTGTGATCCTGATGCATCTGATACATTGCCTGTAGCTTCACGATAAAGGGCTACCTCGTATTCTAGCCTTCCAGGAGTTTCTTCAACTACACCGGACACTCTTGCTCCATGTGGACTAGAAGAAATATATGTAAAGATTTAAGAAGATTTTTGTGTATATTCTTGAATATTCTTTATGTAAATGTAAGTATATAATTATATTTTTTTTGTTAATATGTTTCATTTAGGTTTATAATAATGAAGTTAAATTAAAGATAAATTTATAATGAAATTAATAAAAACTTTGCAATAGAGAAAAATCTTAATTTATGAGCTGCGATTTTTAAGAGAATTATAAAATGTATACTAAATTTTAGTTACATTTTGTTAAAAATATTTTTATAATTTGGTTATCATAAAAAAATTATATTGCATTGAATTAATTTGCAATTCATGTATGCTTCCCAGTAAAGTTATTGAATGAAACTGGTGGCTTTGCTGAAGACCAACTTACAAGGTTCCAGCGAATCCAGCGGCTTTGTGTCGAAGTAACGTGGGTTCAGGTGGTCGACACATCAAAATCAATTCTTGATCAGCTAGCATTACAACACCGGGAAAAGCCGGAAACCATATTCGCAGGTGAATAAAACCCTAATAATAATAAAGTTTAATTTATCGTGTGTTTAATAAGTTTAAGTTTTTTCCCTTTTTTTTTTTTTTAATAATTATGAATCAAATAATACTCTTCCAAAGACTTGGATTTTAATTTTTTAAGATTCATTATCACTTAAAACTTAAGATAATGATTAAAACACTTAAATTCAATCAAAAGCGTTACAAATTAAAGGTATATAAAATATAATTACAACGAAATTTATTTCTATCTGTTCTTAACTTTTGTAACACGATCATAAATATCGCGTGTCTTTTATTAATTTAACGATCATCGAGAAAAGCAAATGATAATTACAATTAATTATGTAACAAGTTGTTACACGAAAGCGATTATGTATTAACTGATCTGTTTCATTTATCGATGCACGATGCAGAACGAGGAGAAAAACGCAGTGAAGGCGGGAAACGAAAATTTCGATCGATGACTCACGTTCCTCTTCAGGATGCCGCATCTCGAGAAGTCAGTCACCTTCAGGAAGTAGTTATCTTCCTGAGGATCGTTGGGATCTGGCCTGATCTGGCAGTGAATGTCGGTGAGTGGATTGGCGGATCTGTCGTCGGCAAAGAGCGGCGCTCCTCTGAAACTAACTGGCCTTTTGATCTTCGCTGTCAGAAGATCGGCGGCTGATCCTGCGCCGCTGCACTGAATGTCAGAGACCTCGTAATCCTGGGCAACGGTGGCGGCAATCTGAAACAATACCACTGTCATTCATCTACCCAGTTTTGCTCGAACGATATTCGCGACGTTCTGGTATGTAATTCATTTCGTTTTTGTATACGGATCTTTTTCTAACTGTTTTGAAATATAATAATGGACCGTTTGTTAAAAAAGAACTTGTATATAAGTATATTGTTGGAGAATAATATTTTTGAAAAGAAAAAAATATCAATTAATTTATATCTCAGTTAAAAATATTCAGTCTCTCATAATGCCTTTGTGTGAATTTTTTCTATATTAAATGGTATAATTATTATTAATTTTATTATAAAAATAATGATCTATAGATAAATATATTTCAATTAAAATTTATAATGTAATAGATGACTTTAAGAAACATTAAAATTAGATTATAAGATAAGCAAATTTAAAATGGATGGCAAATTTAATTAAAATTAAAATGTTTTTGAAATTTTTGTGACTTATTTGCATGTATGTTTTTTGCCATATAAGATATTCTGAAAAAATTCATCCATATAATTTCAAATATTTAGTTTTAATTATATAATTTAAAGATGTTTAAAATTAAAATTTATATTTGCAACAATTTTGCGAATAATAATATAATAAATGAAAATGAATATTCTATTACGATAAAATATGTGATTATAAAGATGTAATGTAAAATGATTATGTACATATAATGCTTAGTATAATTTAAAATTAAAATTGTAAGAAGAATATTGTGGATATTTTTCTACGTGATATTTTAAAATGTTTAATTTCATTTGCAATTATATGTAATATTTCAAATCATATTTCAATTCTATTTTTTTACGTCCAATATAAATAATTCTTAATTTAAAAAAAAACAACTTTTTTAAAATATATATCTATTAAGATTAAAATAATCCATATTATCTTTTTTTTCTTAAAAATACTGTCTCTGTAATGATTATCTTAATTTTTCTATTAAATATCTTAAAAAATTCAATCGTATTAATCAGATTATTGAATTTCCAATAATTCAATATATCAGATACAATCAATTATTATGTTTAAAATAATGTCAAGTAGAGTTCAATTATCATTAATTAAATCTTCAATTATCTTTTACGTCATTGGCCTCATTATCTATGATGTACATTTCCACGACACGATCTTACAAATAACATAATTACATATGTATATAATCATATTAATCGTGTTTGTCATTTGATTGTAATTAATGATAAAATTCAATGAGAAATGATTGAAGAATGCTATAATCTCTAGGCGTTAATGAAAAAGAATACAATGCAACCACGAAGAATTTCATAGTTCAGTGGATGTTCCATAGTGGCAGAAGTGCATTAACCATTAACATACTTTGCTAACAAACTTCTGAACTATTTTACCGTGAAATAACATCTGTTCAGCCCTGTCACCGTTCTTGACACAATCGTTTTTTCCTCTTAACATCTGGACAGAGTGATGTTGAGTGACCTCACTTGGTCATAGAAAATAGTTATTTCCTTAATTAACACTTTTTGTTCGATATCAAGCTTAAGGCGCGTTACCATCGCATGTGCTGATCTGTCTAGTGCAGCATGAAACTTCGATATGAAATAAGATGGCCAACACGCGAGGAGAGAAGACTTCAATACAAATAACGGTGTAAAGAAACGCTCTGGTACCCGCCTAAGTTATTCGTTATATGCGTACCATACAAGTTGTCCATCGTACAGTCAGCCAGACGTATAATCGTAGTACAGGTCATGGTTATTTCTTATGTTAGAGGTAGGTTACCCGGGCTTTTAAGATTGGCTGATTTTCAAGGTAAAATTGATAAGTTGATATATCAAGAACTTGTTTTAAATTCTTTTAATATATTTAGCTGTTTATTTGTTGAAAAGAAATATATATATATTCTTGTGATGATATCGTCCAATTTTTTAGATTTGCAATTTTTTTTTCATGATATTAAAATTGTTATTTTCAGAGAATTTGCTACGATGAAAAGATATTCAAAAAAAATTTAATTTTAATTTGTTAACATTAAATATATGAATATTAAATATTTGTAATATTAAGTATTGGAATAATGTTATATTAAAATAAATTTTAATTATAGTACTTCGAATAATAAAGTAATATATGAAGATTAAAAAAAAACTTGATATTTCTTTTGTGATTATTTAATTGATTATTTTATTAGATAGAAAGTAAATTTTAATTCGATGTTAAAAGAATCATTTTGATGTAAAATGTATTGAATTATATATTATTGTATAGTACTGAATTATTCGAATCAATATTAGACTGCATATTTAATGATTATAAAAATTTCATGAACAATTTTCATATATTTGATATTTTTTAAATATTAAAATATCTTCTATAAATTATAAGATTATTTTCCTCATTGTTTTTTATATGAAGCATTAAATACGCAAAATTAGATAATTAAATCGAAATACTTTATAAATAAATTATTTCAGCCAACATTTTGTATAAATATCAATATAAAATAAGCGAGTTTATGATTGAGAAATATAGAATCTGTGATATTTTAATTCAAATAAAGTTGTATAATGATTTTAATAAATGTATTTAACTTTAATTCGCATTATTATGTCAATTATATGAATATTAATTAAGTGTATCATATAAAATTATGAATAATTTATAAATATCTTCGTTGTTACTTTAATTAGTGATTAAGATGTAATATTAGATAATATTAGAAAAATATTTTTTTTTATTAAAGTACTATTTCAATATTTGTATTTCTGATTTTTTTTATTGAAATTTTTTTAAATTTATAAAATAAAGATTGTACAGATCTACATTTTGTATTTAATGAATTTTTAAATAAAAAAAATTTAAACTTAATGAGAAAATTTGATTTCTACAATTTAAAAAATTTGGTATCCCTTTTTTTTTAATTCCTCGAATACTTGATAATTTTAAAATGATCGATTTAGGAATCGATACAATCGACAGATCAATCTTTGGACGATGACTAGATCAAGATCGATCACTATATCTAAACTTACTCTAATTTTATCATCGATTGTTAAATCGACTGAATGAAAAAATAATACAACAATCGAATCCTGAAGGTTGATAAGCACTCAGGCCATCATTTCCCCAATATGGTATGCGTTGAAAACTGTTATTGTAACTTTAATCGGAGACGAGCGAAGCAAACGGCGCGAAATTCAAAGTTTCCATTTCCATTCCTCGATAGGAGTTTCATGTAATTTCGATGAAACGTTCGACGATGATTTCCGAATCGTTAAACGGAAACTATTAAAGAAAAAGCCGGTTGGAAAAGAAAAATAAGTGGAGACTCTGTTACTGTGTATTGCCATTGACAGAGTCGTGGTATCCAATTTGTGGAGTTAATAGAAGTTTGATCAAGCCTTGTTTCAAATTGAATGCCAAATTATGGATTGTGACCGGTCGATAGAAACTTTTATCGAAACGTTAATGTTTTTTCGATCCACCGATCGACACTGTGTTATTCGAACGCGAGATGTGGCCTGCGTTCTACGAAATTCAATTTAGACTGCGAATAGTAATGGAACCGATTATAGCAGTAATAGTAATAACAAACTCGATTCTAATAGGAACAACGTATCGATGAATTTTTATTATTTATTTTGTATAAATTGTCGATTATGAAATGTTTTGCATTGAATCTTTTTCAAGGGATGTAATGAAAAGTAATCTTTTTAGAGGCGTATATAAAAATATATAACATATAGTCATTTGATTAAAATTTTGATATAATTATTAAAAATATGTAGATTAATAAAAAAAAAAGTAATAGTATCGTATTTAAATAATGTATTTAAAAAATAGAAGTAAAAATATGTTTAAAAAAGGATTTATACAAAGTGTCACATATGTATGAGGTGCTCTTCGATTCGATTGATGTGCAGAAAGTTAACGGGAAGAGACAAACAGTCGAATCTGTTACGAGAAACGGTCCTCTTTTCTTGGTTCCCTTGAGATTGTCTTCTAGATAACTATATATATATATATATATATATATATATATATATATACGCATACGAATGTTTTTTTCACATTTTTTTTTCCTTTTTCATGAAAGAACCGCAATAGCGTCTTTTTACGACGCTATAAATTTCATTCTTATTTCCTAGGCACTTTTGGTAAGATGACATTTAGTTATTTCTACACGTGGGTTTCCGTATAAGTTAATAGCCTCTTAAAAAGTTTTTTTGACGAAGAAATTTTGAAGTTATTATTGAAAGACTGTCACATGTTTTGTTTACTATTTGTACGTTTTTATTTTGAAATAAAATATAAATTAATAAAATCTATTTTATATAGATATTATTTAAGTATATTTAAATATATATGAATTATTAGATTAGTTTATGTATTTATCTTTCTTTTATTATAGATTGTTGATAAAATAAAACATATAAAATAATATTATTTTCCATAATTAAATAATAATTAATAAATAATTAATAAATAAATAATTATAAGAATAAATTATTTTTAATTAAACTTGAAAATTTTTTACTTTTTTATATTTGAACTGTTTCCTTTGCTGCTTTTTGGATTTCGATTCAATTATCCGTGACCTTTAAAATCATAATTTAAAAGAAAAAGTTGGAATTGAAAAAGTTTGATGGAATACCGAACACATTAAAGAAATCCAAGTTAACACTTCAACGTGAAACGCATTTTAAACATTATACTCTTGGTTTTCTTATGCAAATAAAATTTTACATTTCTGCTATAATTACTATTTTATCTCTACAAAAAAAAATTTAATAAGTTTCCTTATTTTATCAAGATATAGAAACAGATAAAAATACTATCATTTCTTTATCTTAGAAGTTTAAAGTATTAATATAAATAAAATAAAAAAAAAATAAACGA